ATTTTTGGAGTTGCAACGTGAAAGCAATGCATTAAATAAAAGCATAGGTTTTTCATGTAAAACACAGCTTTCCTCATGTTTTCTATAATGACGAACAGCATTACCCCACTCTTGATGGGGCTTGAAAACTAAATTTAATATTCCAGACTTATTTGGAATACTAGCACCTAGCAAAGTACAAGGAAGACAGTAAGCTCCATCTTCTTTGCTAGAATAAGCTAACCAAGAAAACTGGCTGAGCCATTCAAATTTAAATGATCTTTTTGTATTAAAAGATATTGGAAAAACATATAATTAGGACAAAATACTTTGTTTACCATATCTAACAAAATAGAATCATCTTTGCCAGCTTTTCCCCGAACAAGATATGTTGAAACTTCATACAAAGAATTTGATTCATTATAGGAAGGAATAATAACTGAGTTGGAGTCTAATGACTTAGCTAATTTTGAATCTACAGAAGGTTCAAACAACTTTATGAAAGCATTGTCTTTTTTAAAGTTAATTTTAGATTAAATTTTGACATGTTTTGCAGAATCAAGTTGTTGTTTTTTATTTGTTTCAGTTTTAAGACTAAAAAAGTGTAAAGGATAAGTAGTATCGTTTTTTATAGCCAAATTCTTATTATTACTAGAAATTAGTTTAGGTTTTTTAATAATTGGTACAAAATGGTTCGGTGTCCAGTTATCATTATTTTGGGTGTCCAGTTATCATTATTTTGCAAGGGTCCTTTCTAATTGCAAAGGTTCTTTTAAAACATTTATTAAACAACCTATCCTCAAAATTTAAAGTAAATCTGATGTGCCCATAATAAGTAAAGGTTGCACCAAGCACACAAGGTATTTTTGTGAATTTCAAAACTTAAAGCATTGTTACTCTGAGTACGCATATGTAAAATTTCCGGATCACAAGGTCGTTTTATTGAATTACGATTGGTGCATACAATTATTTTCTCATTTCGCTTCAAAACTTTGTAACTTTGTACAAATGATTAAATTTTGTTTTACTAATTATACTAGTTGGTTTGCTTTACTGTTCAGCCTATGATTTTGATTTAAGTGTATTTTTATTAGATTTTTTGTCATTATTAGATTTCAGAATATTTTTACTATTAGTTGTTAAAAGAAAGTTAAAAGGTAAATAAAGCATTTTAATATTTTATCATAAAAAAGTTTATTTTTTTAATAGTAATTTAAAAAAATTAAAAAGTAAAAAATTGGAGTATTTTAAAGGACTAAATACTGTAAATAATGTAACAATGATTGTTTATAGACTGATTCAACTCTATTAAACATTAATTTTAATCTAAAAGATAAAAAATAAATAAAATAAAATTTTTTAAATAAAGCACTAGTGCTTTAATTTGATCTTTTTTATTTTTTATAGTGATTCACAAATCTGAAAATGAATAAAAAAAATGTTATTTTCGATCATCTTCAGACTTCGTATAGTGATGTGTCTTTTAATTCACAGACAATATGCCTCAAAGGACATGTTATTTTTTTATATTACAAAAATAAGTTTTCTTTTACTACCACAGCAAAAATTGTTAGTGAAACATTTGGTTGTCAAACAACAAAAAATCAAATTAGACATTTAATAAACAACAGTGTTAATAAATTCAAAAAGCACATCTCAAGGGATATGTCAAAGTTTGAAAAAATTTGTTCAGAAGTTTTCTCTGGGGCAATAGTTGTTGAAGCTACTAATGACTTTTCATCAGCATCTACTGAAGCCTTTGTTGAACTTTCTCAGCAAAATGTTTCGGTGGTTGTGCCAATAGAAGAAGTTCAAGTTGAAGATCCAAGAGGAGCCTATTTAACACCTATAAAAGCTAAATTAAAACAGCGTCTTTCTTTATTATCACAATCACGTAGTGATGAAAGAAAAAAATACAAAGAAGCAATTTTTAACTCAAAGAGCAAACTTAAACAAATGCCCATTCAAGTAAGACTTTTAAAGAAAAACATTTGGAAAAAAAATATTATTATTTGCAATCTTAAAAAAAAATTAAAATCGATTAAAGTTGAAGCAGGGCAACAAAATTGCAAAAGGCTTTTGTTATTATTAAAAAGACAGAGACAAAAATATCAGCAACTTAAAAAACAAAATGCTGAAATTATACAACTAAAACAAAAACTTGTTATAAATTCTCAAGTAATTAAATCACTTGAACATCAAAATCTTCTTCTTGAAGAGAAGATTAATAATTTAGAATCCAATTTAATGGTTACTAAGAAAAACAAAAAAACATATAATACAGAACTACAAACACTTGTTTTTGATGCTGTAATTAATCAAGTATCTGCAAATTACATTTCTTCTTTAATTCAAAGTTTTAGCCAACATCTAGGTCTTACCATTAAAACTGTTCCTTACCGCAATACTGTCGAACAAATGGTGAGGGAACTAGGTGTTATCACTGACCTCCAAACAGCAGAAATTGCTATATCTGAAGAGAATTTAACGCTTGGATTTGATGGCACAACTCAGGAAGGTGTACATGCCAGCTGTATTCACCTTACTACTAAAACTGGTTGCCATGTTGTAGCACTAGATGAGTTAAGTGGTGGCACATCAGAGGACTATGAGCAGCATATATGTCAATCCATAGACAACTTAGCCAAAACTTATGCCTCTTTCCATTTAAAAGATTTTTACGAATGTCGTCAGACTATAATTAACAACATAGCTAATACAATTTCAGATCGAGCAGTTACAAACCATGCCACAATAAAAAAGTTAAGTCTGGCATGGAACAAAACCTTCAATGAGTTGAACTGTCATCTTCATCCTCTAGAAACATTTTTCAGTAGATGTAGATCTGCACTTGCAGTAATAGAAACAGAAAAAGGGAAATTATTTGGTAGCGATTGCATGGCCGGAAATATTGTTGTGCAACTAAATAAACTTCGGTACATGGATGGAAAAGGTGATCCTAAAGGATTTGTTTTATTTTTATTAAAAGAAGAACTTCCCAAGGGTTTACTTCCTAGATACAGAGGAAATCGCTTGCATATTTTTTTTCATATTTGTGGAGTATTAATTCTACATTATGACGTTTTTAAAACATTTCTGACATTAGGTACTCTTTCATGCGTTCGATTACAAGCCAGTTTATCTACTGACTTTGCAAACAATATTGCTAAACGAGAACTTTGTGTTGCTGGGTTAATAGGAAAACTTATAACTAGTCCTTCGATGAAAAAATTTTATGTTTCAGCCGAAAAACAAATCTCTCATTTGGATGGTATTGTCATTATTAAAAAAGTCCGGATATGGTTGACCAATGTCTAAAAAATCCATTACAAATTTTATCAAGATCAAAAAATTTCTTTGATGAAGAATTTGATAAAAAAGATCTTGTCTGGAAGGCTCTCATTGAATTCTGCCCTAAAGACGACAGTATGAAAAAAATGATACTTGTTTGCTTGACTGCTATATCTGAAACAATCAATAGGCAATATGAAAAATACTTCAGTATGAAACCCACAGAACAAATGGAATTGGAAACTGAATCTGCAAGGCTACACAACATGGATGCTGAGGAAATGATGGGAATGTTTAGTGTAGCTCAGAAATTTGCACCTAATGCAACTCTTTGTTACCTATCATCAAGACTGCGTGCCAGAAAAAATAATGTTAACAACTATTTAAACAGTCTTCCAAAACATGTTAAAGAGTCTGTTATGGAGTGGGCCATTAATTTTGCAACAAAAAGAAGAGAGATTAATAGATTAAAGATGTCTGAAGTGAATAAGGAGATGACACGCAGAGCAGAGCAAAAAAGGCAAAAAAAAGATACAAAAGAAAGGAAAAAAATAGAAAAAAAATTAAAAGTAATAAGTATAAGTGTTGAAACTTTTGAGAACGAGTTTCCAGACATTAGTGAATCAAATTTTAATGATATTTTGAGTGTTATGTCTGGAACTGCCATAGGCAGAAATATATGCCATATTTGGTATGAAGATGAAAAAAAGATTATATATAATGGAAAAATTGAAAAAATAAAAAAAAAGATACAGGATACATATGTTGTTGCTTATTGGAACAAGGATGAAGATTATAATGATGCAATAGACTATGATATTCCAAAAGTTCAACTTGCTTGTGACATTATACTTGGTGATCTCATGATGGCATGAACATCTTTAAACCAATCACTTTAATTCATAAACTAATATTTATTATTATTTTCACTTAAATACACTCTAAGGTTTATTTAAATATATAATATTTGAGTTAAGTCACAAAAATTTAGACCAATATACATTTTTTTGATAAAAAAAATAATTTTTGGGTCCAACTTTTCATAGCCTCTCCATATATAAAAAATCACAACTTAAAAATCCCATAACTTTTGAAATACTCGACCTTCAGAGATAGTTTTAGTATTTTTAGAAAATTCAAAATTAAAGGCATATATTTATGTAAAAAATATTGTTTTATTTTAAAATTTCAAAATTTCCTCATATCCCTAATAGTAGCATAGTAGCAAACTTTTTCAAACAATTCAATCGAAGTTAGAAGCTTCAATACAATAACTGTCTTCAGAGACGAATTGCTTAAAAGTGAAGCTGAACTGTAGAGGCATGCCTCTACAGTTGCCAGAGGCATGCCTCTACTTTTTATTTTATTTAAGGTCATCTGAAGATGGAAATTGCCGGCAAGTTCCGTCTTCAGATGACCTTAAATAAAATAAAAAGTATACTAAAACAAGCTCAGTTTATATTAAATACTAGCTGGAAATATAAAATACCATTAACTTTAATAATAGGGTTTTACCTTAAAGCAACATAATCTTTAGTATCTTCTTGCTTTGGGATAAAACGATCCATTTCAGTATTTTTAGAAGACTGACTATGTGGCTGAACTGGACTCTTATTATTTAAAACTTTCAATTCTTCAGTCAACTGGTTTTTATATTTGCGAATATTTGGCAAATGTCTAGTCTTAATTGCATTTGAGACTAAAAAATTCATTTTTTTTCAAAACTTTAGTTTACAAGCAAAGTCCAACGACGAAAATTACGAGCGAAGAACGTATATCAGGCGGCATATCAGAATTTTGTAAAATTTGAACGATTTGGAGCAACTGATGCAATTGTTCTAAACTTTCTACAAATTTGATTGGTTATAAATAACATTTCTTATCTTTTTTGTAAAGTTTTTTGCGGAAGTTTTGTAGCAACTGATGCAATTGTTATTTTATTAAATAGTGATTGGTTTAAACTGTTTTTTAACCAATCATTAATGATTTAGAGTACAATTGCATCAGTTGCTACCACTGATCTCAAAATATAACTGGATAGCGGATTCTATTGTTTTTTCCGAAAAAAGTTGAAGCCAAAATTGGCCTCCCAAGATGGCGGCGATTTTAGTTCCTAGCGGTAAAACCGATATACATTATATTTTACTTTATCAAAATACAAAAAAAAAAAAAAAAAAAAAAAATTAAACAATTTTGTAAACTTGTAAGAAACAGAAGAAAATAATGAATTTTATAATTAATAATAAAAAAAAAAGGAATTATCTTTTTTTATAATTGAATTTATTATTAAATGGCATTAGTAAAATTTACAATTTTAGTTTTATGTATAATTTATGTACCTTTTAGTTCTTAGCTACCCAATGCTGTATGCTAGAAAGTTAATAACATAACAGCATGCTAAGCAGCAATCATGTCTACCTATAATTTTATATTCTCTATTTTTTGTAACAAGATACCAATTTGTAAAAATGCTGCATGAACTATTAATTGAGAATTGTGAGTACACAGAAACTCAAGGGTTTCTTCTAGAATTATATTATACTTGAATGCTATTATTGCATAAATTGTCACTTGTACTGTTAAAAAAACAGGTCTGAATTATGTTATTTATAACAAATTTTAAAACAAATAAAAAGTTAATGATCATTTCTTACTTAATTACTCAATACAAATAAGGATGCAAATGTATGTAAAAATACATTTGTTTGAAAAAAATGTATTAATTAAATCTTTAATATAAAAATAATCAAAACATCTCTTTGAAATATCTTCATAACTAAAGTTATATATACTGTTTTTATATATACCACAAGGCTGACATTATTAGGTGTCAAGTAGGTGTCAGCATTTTTACAGTATGTTTTAATATGGTAATTGCTATTCATAAATTTAAAACTTAAAACAGTTAGAAAGTAAATAAAAAAGATAGGAAATAAAAAATAGATAAACCTAAATCTAGATTTAATAACTTATTTAAAATTTATTCATTTGCAAACTTATTAAATGCTAAATCATATGACGTATTTGTTACCTAATTGAATATCTTTAACAAAATAAATATATAAATAAATTTTGCAGATGCAATTAACTCAAATTGTTTTTATATAAAAGTAAACTTACTATTTCAACCTTTATCTATAGTACAGAGATATTTTTTCACTTCTTCTCGTGATAGAATCTGTTTTAAATAAATTACAACAACTTCTTCTCGTGATTTAATCTGTAAATGTTGTATTAGAAGTACTGTGAACATCAAAGGACAAAACTATAGTTTTGTCTTTTGATGTTCACAGTACTTCTTTATAAAGGACATTATGAACAAGCGATAACGTTACGCATGCATACCAATATGAAAAAATGTCAATATTTGAGAAATGAAAACAAAATAATATTAGGCCAATATTGGCAAACAATATTGCACCAATATTCGCATATCAATATTGGCTAATATTGGCATGTCAATATTGCGCCAATATTATATTTCAATATTAGGAAAATAATATTGGCGTAATATTGGTATGATAATATCGGCCAATATTGATATGCCAATATTGGCGCAATATTGTTTTCCATTATTGGCGCAATATTGCATATCTTGGCCAATCTAGGCCAAGATACCCAATATCGCGCCAATATCGCGCCAATATTGTTTGCTACTTGGGATGTATTTTTATTTTTCGTCACCTTTAATCCTCTTCTTTTTTGTGGTAATTTGTTCTCTGCTTTACTCTATCATTAATATTTTTGTTCAAAATAACACCCATATCAGTAGGTTTTGTCATATTTTCTTATTTCTGCTGTTATATAAATTAGCTTTGATAACTTGAAAAAATCGTATTTAAGTAGCAATTGTAAATGGGCTATATTTGAATATAATAAGGAACAGAATATTAATTAGCAAAGAAGATATAAATCAAAACATATATTTGAAACAGTACTCCAGGATAAGTTCACAAACAAAATATTCGCTCCCATAGCATTGCGTTGCTGCGCAAATATTTTTTACTCGAGATTAAAGAAACATAAATTAAACAAAAACTTATAAAGAAATGTTTGGTTTTTTTGCAGATTCAAAATCTGCATAAAATTTTGGTCTAAATTATTTAACAAAAAAAAAAAAAAAATTTTTTGAAAATGTAATAGTAGTTGCCCCTTAATAGTGGTAAGACCGTAAGGACTTCTTAAAGCACTATAAGGAGCAATAAAAAATAACTTTTGAGATTAATGTTCTCTTATGAATAAAAAAAAAACACGAAATTTATAATTAAAAAAACAGCGGAATTGAATAAACAAAAACGTTGCAATGCAAACTATAAAAAACATTTTAACGAAAAAAATTTTCTTTAAGTTAAAAGTTTTTATCTCTTAACAAATATTAATTTATTTACATATGTTATTTTATATAAGTGAGTTATATTCAGAAAAAAAAAATTCTAATCTCAAGCTTAGCAATATAATGAATAAACAAACTTCAAGTGATTTGCAACTTGGTTTCAACATGGAAGTATAAAACAGATGGAAGTTCAACCGCATTAAAATTCTTCAGGACTATGCTTGTAACCTTTTGTTTCGTAAACAATAAGAAAACTACATCAAGACTGTACTTAAACGCCTAATCTTTATACGTTGACGCTAATAGATACGTTTATAACAGTTTAAAAATATAGTGTTTTGTAGGTTCGCCAATAATGTTCAAGAAAAACATTAAAAATGGCGCAACGTAACGGCAAACAACAATTTTTATATAAACTTCATATTAAATAAATGGAGAGTTACAAGAATGAATGGAGTTATGATATACATCTAATAAAACTTTAAACTTAAGTTATTTAGAAAACAATTTTTTTAATTTTTTAAAAATAATATATATATATATATATATATATATATATATATATATATATATATATATATATATATATATATATATACAAATATATATATATAATATAATATATATAATATAAATATATATATATATATGTATATATATATATATATATATATATATATATATATATATGTATAAATATGTATATATATATATATATATATGTATATATATATATATATATATATATATATATATATATATATATATATATATATATATATATATATATATATATATATATATGTATATATATATATATATATATATATATATATATTTATATATATATAAACAAACAAATATTTAAACTCTCACTCTTGAGTTTCGTATAATTTATTCACATAACTTATTTTTTAAAAGATAGTTGAAGGAAATTTTTGAAGTTCTAAATTTAAAATTACAAATTCGATTTTAAAAACATTCATTTCAATCCAAATGTTTGAATAACATAGTTATTCTTGTTTTCTTGGTGTCTACAAATCAATATTTAAATTTATTTGCAATAATATTATAAATATAATGAAGTATTTTTTAATTTATATTATTCATTAATTTGCTTTATATTATATCTAGTGTGTTACATTTAGATTAAAATGAAATTATTTAATTTTTAAAATGTGATAAAAGTTATCGTCAAATTAATAAAATTTAAATGTTTTTAATAATTTTTAGCGAAATAAATTTCAATAATTTAATATTTAAAAATATATACATAAAATATAATGCATTTAATAATAATAATAATAACAATAATAATAATAATATTTTGTATCTAATTTTTTATTCGGTTATTACATAATATAAATATATGTATTAATACCTAGATTACTTTATTCTATATATTACGTTTTATAATTTCGATTATTATTTAAATTATCATTTATTTGTTTATTTATACATAATATTTGTTTTTTTTTCTTTAGATCATTTACTTGAATTATCGCGTCAAAGTGGTTATGAAAACGATAATGAACGTAAAACTTATTACGATAATTTATTTGTTGAATGTTTTTATGAAAGTCAATCATCATTTACTGATGAAATAAAATTAATTGTCGATAAACGAAAGTGGTGGGTGATTTCGGTTAACGATGGAAAAACTTCTTACGAAATTTCTTGTAATAATTATTTTGTAAATTGTTACATTATATCTGGAAGAAAGTTATCGTTGTTAAGTGTTAATAAAAATATTTTAAGTGATGAAGAAAAAAATATAATAATTAAATGTTCAACAAATGTTCGCGATGTCAGCTTTTATTGTCCAATTAATTTCGAAGGTTGGAAACCGAAAGATAAGATTGAAGAGTTGGTGATAGACATCTCACGTTTTTTAATAACAAAAAAAGACTTTGAAGAAATTTTTCTTCCATGGATTAATCTTTGTGAAGAATTAGATCTTGATCTTCATACAGACATTGATTTCATTGAAGAGATTTATGAATGGGTTCGTTGTTCAAATATCAAGTGGTTTAGGATTTGCTACGGTGGACAAACTTTTCGTAACCTCGATAATTTAAAAAACTTTATAACACAAAAAAAAGTTCAATATTTTTAATAAAATATAAACAATATTTAAAAATTAATAAATAAAATATTTTAAGTATTATTTTATAACTTAATGTGTTTTAAAAAATACGAATTAATTTTAATAATATTTACAAGTTTAGAAGTTTAATAAATTATTAAATGTCACGGTTATCTCAAGAATTGGAAACTTTTCCATTGTTGTTAAAACGACTTCTTTGAAAACCTCTTTACACAATATCTTGTTTTAATATGAAGTGTAAAAAAATAAAATTTAACTGTTAGTTTTTAATTTTATAGGTAACACAAACATTATTTTTAATGTTATTAAACTCTTACGATTTCTCACAGCACCCTTCAGATAAAAAATGTAATTTTCACCATCGAAAGTAGAAACAGATAACCTTTAATTTTATAATCGACGTTTATTTCAACGTTTTAAAATGTACTTGTAATAGATAAGCACATGCTTATGATTCATATGATAAGTTG